TAGATGATAGACAGAGAAAGATAGATGATATAGATAGATAATAGATAGATATATAGATAGATGGATAGATAGATAGATAGACAGACAGATAGATAGATAGACAGACAGACAGGTGCTGTGATGGATAGATGGATGAGTAGATGGATGGATGGATAGAAAGGAAAGAATTAGGAAAAAAGAAAGAGAAATAAGGGAGGGAGGGAGGGAGGAAGGAAGGAAGGAAGGAAGGAAGGAAGGAAGGAAGGAAGGAAGGAAGGAAGGAAGAATTAGACAACAAAAGGTACAGATGAAAGATAGCAGGTGATAAAAAGATATGCATCAGATACATCAATAGGTGATAGACAGATAAGAGACATTGACAGATGATAGATGAATGCAGGTGCTGTGTAGATTATGATTAGTTGCAACATAGCCTATTCATGGAGGAAGTATCAATTGCATTTTCACTGGACAAAATTTGAAAGAGAAATTCAATGGACAGATTGCTGATAGACAGACACAGACAGTAACAGAGGCAGAAACACAGAGATATTTAGTGATAGTTGCACAGATAGAAGACAGAAAGACGACTAGAGCAAAGTCATCCTCTAGGATACCCCGTGTTCCAAGAGAGCCGCTGGAACCCCTGGCACTGGTATATATTCTAAGCAGCAGAAAAGAGAAAGTAAAGATAAAAGAAATGTGTTTGCTAACTAGATCTCTTTCTTTTAAAGAGGCATCTCAAAAACCCTTTGCAATAATTGTATATTGCATTTGTGGGCTAGAAGTTGGTTCAAAGGCCACATTTTGCAGCAAGGGAGCTTGTGGAAACATAGATGGGTCACTCAACGTGGCAACACACTCAGGTGAGGAATTGGGTTTTAGTGAGTAGTGTAGCTACGTTTAGTTAGTAGGGAAGAGGAGAGACTGGATTCAGAGGCCAAGAGCAAACTATCTCACCTATGACAAAAGGTAGATGATGAGGATTTAAGTTCCGATATGCAGTGAGCCCCTAACATGGGGTGACAAATACCATGTGCTCAGCAAACTTGACACTGATTTTCTTTCATAGGATAGGAGCGCAATCTTAATTTCTTGCATCACCCTGAGATGTGTACGCTAGGATTTCTCAGACTTGGCACATTGCCTTTTAAAGCCAGGTGGGGTTTTCTCCTGTGCACCACGGGTAGTTTACGAGTAACTTTCCCTTCTGCTCACTAAATGTCAGGAGCTTCCACTCACGGCAACCAAAAATTTCTCCAGCCACAGGCAAATGCTTCTTCAGGAAAGAAATGCCCACTGTAGGCAACAAGCTGCCTTGAGCAGAGCAGGATACTAAGTTGCCCTTTAGGATCGATGGTTCAGTGAGGCAGGGGTGAAAACCTTTGAGAATGCGATGGTATGGCAGGCCTCGTGGCTCAGCTGGTCAGAGCGCCTGTCTAGTAAATGAGAATGTGGCGCTGATTCCCCTGTGTGAAATCCAGCACACAGAAAAGCGCAGATTTTCCCACAGAATAACAAGTAACCATGGCAAGTCGCATAGGTAAAAAATGGATTATACTTTGTTGGCTTTTTTCTCAACATTGCTTGCCATTAGAGAAATGTCGATTAAAACCACACCGAGATTCCATCTCACACCAGAAAAAATAGCAAGCATCAAGAAATCAAATAATAACAACTACAGAGAGGGTGGGGGTGGGGGCTTTCTACATTTTTGGTGGGAATGTAAAGGAATACAGCCATTATGGAAGTCAGTATGGAGATTCCTCAAAAAACTAGGAGCAGAAATTCCATTTGGCCCAGCCAATTCCCTTCTAAGTATCTTCTCAAAAGAGATAGAGCCATCATTACAGTCATCCGTGCATACCCGTGTTTATAGCAGCACAACACACTAGCTAATCTTGGCAGCAACATAGATACCCAAGAACAGATGCAAGGATAAGGAAAATGTGGTATGTACATGCTATGGAGTACTTTTCTGCCATACTGTGGGAGAAATTTCAGTCATTTGTAGGAAAACGGATGTAACTTGAAACTACAATGTTAGGTGAAAAAAAATCAGACACACAAGCTTAAATATCACATGGTTCCTCTTATATAAGAAACCCTCAATGAAGTTGCACAGATTACCAGATGTAAGAACGCAAGATTGATCAAACAATTAAAGAGAATGAAAAAAATTTAAAAATATTAGAAACAATACAGAGCTTCACCAAACAAGATGGTAGGAATTCAGCAATGGTTGTTATACTGTGTATTTATTGTCTTCAGATTAGTTGTTCAGATTACCAGATATAAGCATGCAACATTGGTCAAAAATTTTAAGCGTTAACTGTTCAGTAAACCAGTAGACATCAGCAGTATAATTATCCCAGCTACCCTTGTATATACATATTTTTATCTTTGTTGTTATTTTGTTAATTTTTTTCTCCTTAAAATTAAAAAAAAAGAAACCCTAATTATATACAGAGAGCAAAATAAAAAATAGATAATAGGAAGTGGGGAAAGGGAATTTTCCCAAATGAGAGAGGGGTGAAGAGATGAAGGGAGAGGAGAGATGGGGGTGAATACAGGGATTAAGATGTGTTACGTACAGGCCCCAACTCCACACAAGAACTGTAAACATTACGTACTGCTAATACCTACTAATAAATTTTTTTTAAAAGAAAAGATAAAGAACAAAGTATTTAAAGTTGTTTATCCACTGGCAACCTACTGCTGGAACAGCAACTTAAACGTTAGCATGTCCCAACTGACTCGCTCAGTAATCCCAGGACTACCGTCAGTACACTCGTGTCTCAGTTTCCCTGTCCATGACATGGAATTGCCATCACCCACCATGATCCTCCTCGATCTAAGAACTAAGAGGAAAAACTTACACAGTGCTTCATGAACCCCCAGTGGCACGCACACTGTCAATCTGTAACACGTCTACGGTTGCAATGGTCTTCAAAGGCGAGAGCTTCGTTAACATATGAGATGCCTGTCCAAGGGTTCCCAAGGATCCCCAATAAAACACAACTCTTAAATTTATGTTAGCCTTATAATGTATTTCAAAATATCTGATGGAGTGAGCCTTGACCTGTCGATGGATACTTGCTTTCGGGCAACACAGAATTGATTGCTTTTCTTATGAAATTCAAAGGCTCGGTTCAGCCATCATCATTCCATTGCAAAATATGGTTTAACAATCTATGATCCCAGGGATGCAATTTTCTTTCCTTGCAATGTTTAAAAATAACACAAATGAACCTCTCTTTTCACGTTACCTTCAAGTCTGTCAAAAAGAATTAATTTCTGGGTGGGCTAAGGAGAAAATTGGTGTAAAGAAAAACAATACTGATATAACAAATTATCATTCATGTAATACCCAACTATACAAATGGAACCAAAACAATACAATGCTCACGAAATTTGGTCAACCTCATGCAGGGTGTGCATAGTGCACGTGTGCAATATGAATATACATTTGAAAATATATATGTGTGAAATCTACCAATTTCAAAACTTCATCTGACAAAATTTACTCACAATTCAAGTTGAAAAATCAATATATTAGCTATGAGAAAAATGTCTTGTCAAACCACCGTTTAGCCTTTTATATAAAAAAGTAAAAGGATCAGAAACCAGGAATCTCATGTTTCCTCTAGATTCATGGGATAAGAATGTGGTGCAGTGATTAGAGCATTTGTGTGGCATGTGTGACACCCTGGGTTCAATTCCCAGCGGTACAAAAAAGACTAAGTTGGGCTGGGGATTTAGCTCAGCGGCAAAGCGCCTGCCTGGCAAGCTCAAGGTCGTGAGTTCGGTTCCCGGTACTGGAGAAAAACCAAAAACCCAAAAAAAAAAAAAGACTAAGTTTATGTTCGACAAATAATTTCATAGTCACTCACAAATACTGTACAGTTTTTAAATAACATGTGTTTATTGAATGGCACAAAGTAAACATAATTGTAGGCATGCATCATTATAAGCAAAGCTTTTGATTTAGGAATATTATTCTGCAATCATTTACTTCGAGATAATGCATCAAAAAGATGTCTAAAACTAATATTCTTCAAAATATATTTCAGTAGGATGTATTGTGTATTTCCCAAATGAAGCTTTGGTTGTGAAATAATGCTCAATTTTAGTCTTAAAATAATATCAATGAGGTAGAACCTTGCAAATGATGCTATGATCTAAAAGTTGCTCTAATTATTCTTAGCAGGGTTTGTGAACTTTATTCATATGTATAGTGTATTATACAGTGGATAAAGTACAGACACATTATCCTCTCTCTGTGTGTGTGTGTGTGTGTTTAAAATTGTGATGTTTTGGAACTGTGTAAGCAAGCATATGAGTGAGTATAATGACAAAGTTTAGAGTGTGTGTATGTGTATAGCAAGGAATACTAAAAACATAAAAGAGATTGCTTAAAGAATACAGTTATTTTGCCACCAATTCCTATAAACCAAGCAAACAACATACAAAACAATTTAGGTATATGTACAACCCATTAAATATTCTGGCCTAACTGGAAGACATTTCTCCTTTTAAAAAATTAAAAGTTACAGAATAAAGAGAAAATAAGGTAGTACACAGAAGTATGGATATATGTATCTTCACTGCAGTGCAGGAGTCTATCCAACAGATAAAATATAATACAATTATTTACATGCTTTTTTCCAATGTATATTTTTCTTCTGTCTCAGTCTCTTCACTCTCTATCTCTCTCTGACTCTCTCTCTGTCTCTCTGTCTCTGTCTCTCTCTGTCTCTGTCTCTCTCTCTCTAAGACAGGGTCTCACTATGCAGGCCTCAAGCTCATGGTGAAGCCCTTGCCTCAGCTTCCCAAATGCTAGGATTATAGGTGTGCACCACCATACCCAAAGTGTTCTCTTGATATTGTTGTACAGTTAAATAAAATATAACCACTAGCAGAAACTGGGTATGTGTGAATTTCTCTACCGTCTTTGCAATTTCTTGTGAACCTACAACCCAAAATGTTTAACCATTTTAACATAGTTGTAAAAGGCATACCTTAGAACACTGCTTATGATTCTGGCACCAAACCAGGGAACCATTGTTCTGAAGAAAGAAAAAAAAAAGAAACATCAGTCCATTCAATAATTCTCTAGCTAAAATCCACACACATGTACTTAATTTTTAAAATATTTGCATAACAAAAGACAATCTTGCAAGGCTGGTGTGTTTCTCTCTTCCTAGAAAAGAAAAACTTTTCTAATGTACACCCTATTTGTCACTGACCTCATGATAGAAACAAAGATGTAACATTTTAATAAAGATTCCATGCTGGAAAAGGGAAAAAGGTCTGAGCCAACATTCACAGCATTCAGTGCTGAGCAGTGAAAGGCAGACCTGCAGGAAAATGAGCTCTAGAAATTTACTCCATAGTAAGAAGACTTGGTAAATTTGTAAGATGAGCATCTTGGAAGATTTATGATCTCAACCAATTTTCAACAACAAGAGTCTGAGGTTGGGTGTCAGACCCCAAGCAACAAACCTTCTTCTCCTTCACTGGAGTATGCTACTTCCATGTTTCATCTTACCAGTCAGTAGACATGCATAACAGCAATACGGCATGCATCAGGTCATTGGGATGACCAGACCAGAAAGAGCTAGTTGTGTTACATTTCGCTACGGGGAATCTTTTTGAGGTGTCAGTGGATGATTTTGACATCATATGAATAACATAGAGTGTATGACAGATATATGTACAAAAACCACTTAGCGTGGGTTAACCTTCACTCAAACACTAGGAAGATAATTTATTGACCTGAACATTAGAATCTCTACTTGGTAACAAACATGTTCCACCCACATAATATTTTGAACATGGTATTTCCTTTGGTTGTGATATTTGAAGTCAGATTGTACTAGCTTGGGTGCTCAAGAAAGCTGGTAGACACCATTGCCCAATCTGGAAGACACCATGACCCTCAGTTCTCTGAAGTTCAAGGTCAGAAATGAGAAAAATTGGCCTGTTTTCTATGTTAGAATCTCTAAATTTTTAACTTGCAGATCCATCTGTAAAGAGTAGTACAGCAGCGTTTGCAGTTATGAAAAAAGACAGCTGAGCTATGACACAGCTTTCAAAAATATTTTTATAAGCAGGTTTATTGAAGTATAATTCCCATACCATAAAATCCACTCACTGAAACCATGTCATTCAATGACCTTAGTATACTAACCAGGCTGTGAAATCAGCATCACTGTCTAATGTTAGAACATTTCCATCAGCCTGGAAAGAAACCTGTATCATTTGAAATCACTCTCCACTTCTCTCCACCCCCATGTCCTTGGAACCCACCAAACTGTCTCTGCGATTTACCTATTCTGAACATCTCACTTACATGGAATCAAGCAACACATAGGCTTTTACTTCTGGCCCCTTTCAATGCAAACAATGTCTTTCGTTATGCTCAATGGGACAGCACTTTGTTCCTTCCGTATTTAATAGATATTCATTTATATTATCAGATTCCTATGTAGGCAGACACCATATTTTGCTCACTCTCCCTCTCAACAATGTGTCTTAATATATTCTTTGCCCAATAATATAATTTTAGTTATACAATTCCCAATATTTCTAAATAGATCTCAGCTGTGTAAGATTAGAAAACTTTCTCCTACAGCTAAGCTTCACTGGGATAAAAGATCTGAGTCCTACAATGATACTTTAGCTATTCACACTCTTTCTAACCTTTTCAGCTTCAATTCCAAGTAATTCATACAAATACCTAGAATTTTAACCAAAATAGATTTGGCTTACCTATCTTGCTAGAGTTCCACACACCCTCACATTGTCCCTTTATCTGTCTATTTGTCTGTCTGTCTATCGATTGATCTATTCATTGCTCAGACAAATGAGGACTGAATCTGGGGTAATATATGATTTTGGGAAGGCTTTTGATCCAGGAAATAATTTGACTGAGCAGAGACCAAAGCGGGACACGTTGTGGACATGGTGTAATTACCACAAAATGAAGTGTTAGCGGTAAGGAGGCCAGAAGGAAAACACACTGTACACTTCGGTATTTTAGGAAGGGAGCCACTGGGTTGGTGGTGCACAGGAAATTCATAATGATGGCCAGCAGGCCAAGGAGTGGTCATAAATGGGGTAAGCAGAACCAAAAGCAGGGCTGGCCACTAAAAAGCACAATACACAGAAGCTCAGGGCAAGGTCAGGAAGAGCTACAAGATGCCTGAATTCAATATTTCACCTGCAAAGGGTCTATGAGGTTTGTTTATTTTTTTAACTTGTTATTTTTATTGTGATTTCTCCATTATAAAACACAAAATTTAAAACACAGAAAAGTAGAAATGTGTATCAAATCTGACCATTTAGCTAGAGTCACTGTTCATCTCATGGTGTTCTTCATGTGCTGGTTGCTTCGTTTAATAAAAATAGGACTTGAGACCTCCAGTGCAGTATTAGGCTTTAGGGATGCCAAGGTGAGCTCATCCAACACTTTGTGAATCTCCCCAGTTTACCCTGACTGGAGTTGGTTCCTGCCAGATCTTGCAAGAGCCACATCCATGCAGACAGATGCCAGCCCCAACACGAGCCACATTCACTGCTCAGGAGTGGAAGCAGAGAAGCCCCTCCTAGAGGCCTAATGGGGGGACCTGCACTTCCAGACTGGCTGAGGCAAGTTTCTGAAGATCTTTTCCACCAGCCCTGGTCTGCAAACCTTCAGCCTATAGGCATCCGGCCAATGAGTCTTTCTCCCAGTGCTAAAGATTTCAATGTGGGTCCACATTCTATTTCCTTCCCTTCTGGATATTCCTTTCCTGAGAAGATGGACATGATCTCATCTGTAGATGAATCTATCTCTCTGAGTGGGCTGTCAACTACATCTACACTTGTAGCACTGTTCTGGAGAGATTTCTCGTACCATCTGTTGCCCTATGATACATATTCTTTTACCTAAGTCTTAGATTTCATTCCCAACTAGAATGCCATAGAGATGCCTTCTTATTATTATTATCTCTGCCTATCTATGTCATTCTACCAATAGAGGAGCTCTTGGTCCTCCTAGAGATGGCATCCATCTAAGGCCATTCAAGGGTAAGTGTGTAGGATGGGGCATGCAGCTCACAGGTACAGCATGTGTTTAGCATGTGGAGAACCGGTTGGAACACTGCCTGGATGCGCTTGTGTTCACAGGTGTGTCCATGCATGTGCGCACGTGCACACACACACACACACACACACACACACAGTATATATGGCAACTAACAGTTGCACTAAAATTATTGGCTGACAAAATAGTACTGGTGGGGCAATATGCCTTTGACATTTATTTACTTATCTACTAACTTTTTATTTATGTACATATTTATTTAGGGATGGATTCTCACTATGTTAAGCAGGCTAGTCTCAAACTCCTGGTCTCACGTGATCTTCCTGCCTCCGTCACCGGAGAAGCTGAGACTGCAGCCTCTGTGCCTGACTCTGTCTTTCACTATTATTGCTACAATTATTCTATTGGCCACATTTATGAGACAGGTATCATCTGCCTTGGTATTTTGTACACTCACCCTACACAACACTGCTAACTAGTTCCAGAAGGTTCATCTGCCCATTTAACAGTCCAGAAGCTCAAAAGAAAAACAAATACAAGTAAAATATCCAGAAAGTTGAAGCCAGTGACCAAGCTCAGTGGTGAACAATACAATAAGCAACTCCACAGTTAAACAGGGAGGTGAGGTTGCCAAGTCTCTGAAGGACTGTCCAGATCCAGAATGTTAGAAGTGGTGAGTACTGATCCAGAAGGTTCAGAGACAAAGACCACCATAGCAAGAGAGGACAAACAAACTCCTGGGCCCGTAACTTGTACTTCATTAAAAGCATGATTTATGTTTCCTTCTGAAGCAGTTAGGATTTTAATAGTTACTTTTACTAAACAATAGTGACTCTTCACTTGGACCTATAGTTTTAGTTAAAACTGAAAAATTTCATTTTTTATCAATTTATTACCTTAAAATTTGGGGTCAGATGCCTGCTCAGCTCTGCATGTAGGTATGGTAATCATTTAGGACGTGCCTGTCTAAAAGCAGGTAGTACAGGTAGTACAATTTATATAGCCCATCTCACGCACTTTCAAGATTGAGAAAATCAAGACAAGACATTTGAGGGGCATTCAGCCAGCAACGGACACCCAGAAGTCTTGAGTCATTGTTCTAAACCTTGGATTCCAACAGAGCTTTCACAAGACTGGAACTGTCCCAAGCAGAGCTCAGGAAGACCAGATTGTCTCCACAAGCAATAAGGACTTCTCCAGAGCCATCTTGCAGAAGAAGATTTGACATACCCATTTGAGATACCTATCTCGCAGACTGCCCTGTGAGATGTCAAGGAACTCCCCTGGGCTGAGCTGAGGTTTCTCCTCTTTAGGGGCCCTGCCCCAGACCCTGTCTAGTGACAGCTTTGCTGTCCATGTTCATGAAGCAGCAGATCAGATGGATGAGATGGACAGGAGAATTTAGAAAGAGAGCAGGTAAATAGGTAGAAAACAGATTACAGAGGATTTTGACTTATCTCTAAAAATGCTTTATTTATTCAGCAAATGTCAGAGTTAATTTTTTTAAAACAGAATGAGAATAATAAGAACTCCTGTACATGGCACACCTTAACTTCTTCTGTCCCTTTTGACTGAAGAATGACAAAATTTCCACAAAAGAATTCATCAAAAATTGCCTTCACCTCCTGGTCTTCACTTTCCAAATGCAAACCCTCTGCCCTGTTCTATGCTGGCTTTCTTCCCTTCTGGAAACCCCATATTTCATATCCCATTGGCTCACACACACACATACATATCAACAACATCAACATCAGCATCAACAACATCAACATCAACATCAATATCAACATCAACAACATCAACAAACATCAACAACATCAACATCAACATAAGAAAATCAATAACCTCAGAACATGTCTATTCATCTGCTTAACTTTTACTGAGAAATCACACCACTACATTACCTCAGTCAAGGCATTTCAATTTAAGCCAAATTTTCTATTAATCATACAAATGAAAAGCTCTGTCATTGCAAAGAAA